CATATGAGTGAATAAATTGCAGCTAAGCATTGGACCATAGCTGGGCACTGGCCAAGACATTTTAGCTTTCCTGTGTTAATATTTCACAAGTTTTATTTTGGTCATTCTTACTCTTAGTGTGAGGATATGTGTATTACAGGCGTATGTATCAGATATTCCTAGAAATACGGAACAAATCGCGTTCCTTATCGCTTCAATAGGGGATGCAGCATTTAACAGTCAAATATGGGGCGACTCCGTATCAGACTAGCTTTATCTGATCTGAATATTTCCAACCCTCCTGTCCTGTTGTCGATACACTGACAGAACTTACCTACTGTCTTTCAACCACATTGAAAGGCTTTTTTTCATCTCGCCAACAACTTTATCCCTCTCCCTTTTTCTTTTTCTGTTTTGCGCCCCGGATAGTTTTTTTTTTTTTTTTCTGACGCTCCATCCTGCTGTTAAGTGTGCACTACGAGTGGTAGTCGAAGATAAAAAAAATGAAAAAAACACGCCTGAGTGCGCCTCTTAGGGGCGAGTGCGCGAGCCACCTGTGTGGGAAGGGAGAGCGACAGGAGGTGAGCTGAAGGGGGCGCATAATCAGTGGGGGGGTATCAGAGGGGCGCATAATCAGTGCTGTCTCTCTGTTATTGATCATTTTATGCTGTTAAATATAGAAAATGACAACTAGAAAAATGTATATTCTAGAGGGGTTTTTTGACGCCCCCTCGAGTGCAGCGCCCCTATGCGTTGCATGCGCTGCATACCCAGTTTTTGCGCCACTGCGTCCCTGTGATGTATTTGCGACTTGGGACCTTATACTTAGGTACTGCGCGGGCCATAAAAAGCCGGGAGCCCACGCTTTCAACGAGGGAGAGGGGCAGGTTACAGAGAACAGTCATCTCGGTTGTTTTCTCAGACATCTGTCTTGCTGCCTCACTCCTGACCAGGGTTTGTTGCTGCGGTCCTTCCCGGCTTCGCTTGGTAGTCTTGAACTCTTTATGTTCGTTCACATGTTTCGACTTCAAATGTTTGATCAGGTTTGGGGTATTGAAACTGCCCGTTTTAACTCCACCTCGTGAAACTTTCAGGTCGCAAATCTCACATTTAGCCGATGTACTCGCTGGCGTTTCTATAAAGAAATACTTCCACACCGCAGACATTTTCTTCTCCTGGTTTGTTTTTCCGCTGCATGAAAAAGCTGCCCCGGCATTGGTCAAGAGCGGCTATTGGCCCACCCTTATTGGTCTGGAGCGGGCCAATAGCGATTATTAACACTAGTCTGTGTCAGGAGAGAGAAGGCTGCGTTCAGGTGACATACGGACATCAAAATGGTATCGGTGCCCTATTTGTTGGTACTTGCCGATACGGATACCACCGTTTTAGTGCTGGATCGGGGCCCCGCCCGATACCGGTATTGGTATTGGTGCAACACTACTTTTAAATGTTACTCATCTATCCAAAGCTGATTTACTTGTTTTATGTTAATTTGCCTGATAGATACATTATCTTATCTAATCATTATCCTTCATTCAGCAAAAAATAAGTCAATTCTAATCCAGATTTAGAAAGCATTTTGGTGTAAAGTCTGCAAGAATTGTTTACAACTTTGCACAGTTAATGTCCAGTTATCTTGTTTCTTAACAATACTTTTGGTGTCAGAGTTGGTGACTTTACTCTGATGCTGTTTTTTTTTTGGTTAAATATTTTCACAACTCTTTTTCTCTTTTTGTGCTTTTTGATGCACACATGTCAGCAATCAGACTTTTCTTATTACTAAACGTTATTGTATTCTTCATTAGCACAAGTCTCAGATCCCTGTTTTATAATTTGTGGAAAATCCAAAAAAGGCAAAATACATAAATTTGTTTTAAAAGGAGCCGGCATCACAATGCATGATCCCATGTGTTGCGTGATCTTCTGTTTCTAGTCATGAGCAAGAAAACAATAGAACAGCAATGATGAAATTAGATACAGACTGACTTTATTGAGTCCCTTGATTTTTTTTAGTTTGTCAGAGTGAAGGGGGCTGAAAACAAAAGCATGCCACACTTTTTGAATTTTTATTTGCAAAGGTTAAAAGTTAAAATTTGACTCAGATTTTAAAACTGCACTTTTTAAAAAAACAAAAAATCACAACAGAATGTATAGTTATGTATGTATTCTATGAAGTGGTGGCTCTGAGGTGGATGTGAAATACTTTATAAGGAGTTGGATCCTAAAAGTCACATTTAGCCTTACTTGGTTCCACTACAGGCAGCTGCGGCGCTAGACAGTAAGGTTTCATTCTGTTGGATTGATGAACTGTTGTGTTGAATGCAAAAGTGACTTGGCTGATATGATGACGACGCTTACTGTACATTTCTGATCGGGGTCAGTCACACTGCTCATTTGCTTGAGAATGACAAGGTGTATTGTGCCTTTTCTCAACTTTATACAATCTACAGAGGTGATAATTACATTGAACTCCAAATGTCACCCCTGATCACAAAGAATAATTTTTGGAGAGCCAAAAAGCTTAACCAATGTTTTTCTTGTTGCCTCTGCAACTGTACTAGCCGGTCCTTAGTGGGTCTAGATGCCTTGATGGTAACGATATAAATTTTAACCTTTGACAACACACAGCATTAATAGTTTTCACATCATGTTTAACGTCTGAAAACACACTAAGCCAGCAAATTAACTTGAATGTTGATTTTCTCATCCCCCTGATGGCCACAATTATTAAGAAATAAACGCAGAGGATATGACTGAATATGACTGAAAGTATTTTTCCCTTAACTAACTCTCTGGTATCCTTATAGAGTCTGACTCTCTCCTTAACGTAAGGTAACGGCATAAAGAAGGAATGACGAGTTTTTTCTGCTATAATGTAGGGAGGTCAGAGCTTGACAGGCCAGCGAGAATGCTAATCACTTCCTGTACTGCAGCAGTACTCTCATCTGAAATTCAGCTAACCTCTGATTCTTTAACCATAACATGAAAATGAGACAAAGCATCCACACTGAATGGAAGTCAAATCACAAGCTGCTAATTTCAGATGATTGCAACATCTGAGCCCAGATGTTTTGTTCAAAGCTGACTGATAAATCCTCCTCCCATTTCAAAGTAGGAATAGATATTGTATCATCTAGTTTAGTCAGTGTCCTGTATAATTTAGACAGTAGTTTTGGGGGGTTTAACTCTAGGAACTCTAATATATTCGTTGGAATCACCATTGATATGCTTAAATTTGTTTTTCAATTATAGATTTAATTAGTTCATAATCTAAGAATTTGTTTTTGTTAATACCATATTGCATATTTAATCAAGCAAATGTGATAAACTCCTTTCCTTCAAATAAATACAGTTTGTCATTTTATCAAATGAATAATTGTTAAAACTAGGAACAGTTTTCCACACACTGTCATAACCAAGCCATGTGGAAGAAGTTTTTTTAATCCCCATGTTTACTTTTACTCACAAAGCAAATCGTTATTGAAGCACAACCTTTACTGAACAGAAATCAAACTGACACTTTTGAGATTGCTTGATTAAAACAATTAAGTTAGATTATCTAAAAGTTTAAAAAAGGAAATTAAGCTGCTTTTCCTGTTGTGCAGTAATTTTATAGTATAACTATAACTATATTCTACATTTTCTACTTTGTATTTATCATTTATTTAAGTCAAATGTTTCTTTCTAATTAATTAATATTTTTCAAAGGAACAAAAAAATCAACTTTAATGTTAAAGAAGGAGAATTTAAAGCTAGTATGTTCCAATCTAACAAACGATTTAACAAAATTTAGTTTAAGCCATTTTTATTAACACACAAAAGTCTATTTAAACCACATTCTCTTGTTGTACATTAAATGTACTTTAACATTTCTAAACAAATTTAGATGTATTTCAGTTGTATAACCAGATTTTCCTTTAGAATGGTTAGAAAATAAAAAACAGCCTTCCTCAAGTTTGGAGAGGTGAGGTGGGGAAGGAGTTTAAAGTCAAACCAGATCTTAGTTGATTTAGCAAAATCAAGAGATAAAAAACAAAATACAAAAACGTTAACAACAAACATTAATGAAAAATAGCAAGATTAAAGATAGAGGAAAAAATATTCAAACAAGTAACATCATTAAAAATGTTGATGATAATACAGTATGACTCTTTTACAGTTTGGTCTAAATATGCACACAGTGCCACCACAAAGTATTCACACCCCTTAAATTTAACACATAGAAACACTGGTTAAGTTAAAGCAGTACATAAAAAATTCCCAGGTTTTATTCTAGGAGAAAAGGTTCATATTCAACCTGTTTTACTGTATATGAGCTACTTTTTTTTCGCCACATTCTTTGCAATAGGCCTGTAGTTAAAAGCTTAACCTGAATTTAAGGTTCCGAAGGTGCCATAAAAAAATTAGATTGAACTTTCAGCATCATATTACTTTTTAAATTGGATCAAATTACAGTTTGCTCATTCATTTTGCCCTGAACACCACTAATTTTAAACACATAAAAAAATTCAGCATCTCATAGAAAAAAAAATTTAATCAAGAACCTGCGAAAAAGAAGATCCAAAAGAAAAAAATATAACAAACCTTAAAAATAATCAGAGTTTTTAATATACAGTTAACTATAATTCTGTTAAGATTCAGAACTTCACAATAAAAGTCCCTGCAGAAGTGATATGCAGAACTGGAGAAACATGTTTAGGTTGAAACAATTAATATATACAGTATTAGACTGAACCTTCGACTGAGGAACTGACCTTAATTCTGTATAATCCAAAAATTTTTGCTTCTCTAATGATCACTTTATGTGAAAATGGAAAAGAGTAACTGATGTGTGACAGAGAGAACAATATACCTTGAATCACAAATAAGATTTTACAGCTTTGATTGTTAAACTTTAACAAAACGGTCTTTGTAAGAAATAACACAAATTGAATCAAGTTCATTTTCTTATTTTGGATTTGATCTTAAAGTGGAACTTTTGATTTGAAAAGGAAAATTAAATGATTGAAGTTACTTCTCTTTAAAACTGTTGATTATTACAGTGTGGTAATAAATCTTTGATGGAACAATATTAACAGATAGACTCTTTAAATATCCTAAAAAAATTTATAGGGTATTTGTCTTTCTGTATTTTTACACAATACAGTAAATGCTGTAAAATAATCACTAATAATTTTATTGAAAAACATCATATCAGTTATTGTGATCTGATCCAGTCATCAAGGGAACCTGATTTGCATCCATTTCATCTCGCCCACCTGCAAAAAATAAAACACATTTATTTAAGTCACTTTTTTTGTACTTAGATACAGAATGTGAGGCTCTCTTTAAAAATCCTTCTGAATAAAGCAAATCAATATTTCTCCCTCAAAGATACAAATCCTAAGCAGCCTCCATTCAGCAGCAACTCTGAGCTAAACAGCTTAAAAACAGGTTAAGCACAATTTTACCTCCAAGTTCAGAAACAAGATTTTAGTTCAAGAAAAGACACAATTTATATCTAGGAATGATTTGTTACATAAAGATTAATATAAAAATAACATTAAACTATAATAAACTACTGAAACAACACTTTTCGTTTCTGTAGCAGAGACTTGGAGCACTGAAGGGTCTTATTAATAAATAACGAGATCTATCAAGCTGAAATGAGAGAAAATAAAATGTTGAATCAGAAATCTGATTTTAATTTCCTAATCTGGGCAGAAAAAAAGAAGTCAAAAACCATTGGATAAAGAAGCTCAGATTTAGGAAAATGACTGAGCTGAAAACCTCATTTTGTTTTGAGGAAGCACATTTTCACATTTCTGAGGGGTAGAAAAAAATGCTGATTTCTTTTTCTTTAGACTTGAGAAAATTTTGACAGCTTATTATGCAAACCAAGGTACCCTAAAAAATTAAAGCTTACCGGGATGGGTGGGGCAGCAAAACCAATAGACCAGAATCCAAATGACAGCGATAATGAGGAGAACACTAACAATGATGAAGGGACGAGGAAATATCCTGCACCTGAAATAAAAATAAAGATGAGGATTAGATCATTCTCACAATGAATCAAAACAGTTATCTTCAGTCAAACACCAGAGGAATGGCACGATTTAGATGATTCCCCCCAAAATTACCACCAAAATATCACTAAAATGTTTCTTCTCTCCACAAATCAGTGGTGACTGCCTTATCTTTACCCAGACAGCATTTAGCATAATCAGTGACCAATAAGTTTAGGTTAGAATACATTTTTAGTTCCTCAATTTACACAAAACCACAAAGCCCCTAAACCAGATGAGTTTGCTTGGCTTATTTTATAAAGAACACAATAAAACATGCTGTTATGGTTGCATGAACTGGAATGAAATGTGTGAAAACATTGTTTTTGTTCATAAAAAGAAGATGTTTGCAAGATCTCCCCTCTTTTTCAATTCAGTTGCTGCCTTGTGTGCCTATTGGGGCATTATACCCAATAAGCACATGATCGGGGGGGGGTCTCTCTGACCTGGGGTTCAAGTTCCCCCTTGCCAGAATAGATGTTTCATATCTCAACAATCTCAAGTTCTTGATGTAGCACAATACACTGTCAGTAAAAAACCCCAGGTCCTGATGTTCAAAAACATCCCAGTTTGTCCTGTCGAAACAGTCCTGCAACTGCTGTGACGCATCCTCAGGCCAGGATTTGATAGTTTTGGTGATGGCTGTAGCGGTTTTTCCAATGGGGGTATAAGCAGGGATTAAATGCAGGGACCGGTGATCAGACTGACCCAGGTGTGGAAGTGGTCTAGCCCTATAGCCAAGCTTAATGTTGAAATAGACTTTGTCCAGAGTGCTAGCTTTTCTTGTAGCGCACTTTACATGCTGGTGGAATTTGGGGAGCGCTGTCTTCAAGGGAGCACGAGGTGAGGCGCACACTGCGGGCCGTCAACCCAAAGAAGGCTGCTGGACCTGATGGCATCCCTGGACGTGTCCTGAAAGACTGCGCCGATCAGCTGGCTGGAGTCTTCACCAGGATCTTCAACCAGTCCCTAGCCCTGTCTACAGTCCCATCCTGCCTGAAATCTTCCATCATAGTCCCCATACCCAAGAAACCACATATTTCTTCCCTCAATGACTACCAGCCAGTGGCACTAACCCCTGTGGTGATGAAGTGCTTTGAAAAACTGGTACGGGGTCACATCACAGCACTTCTCCCTCCTGGCTTCGACCCCCCACCAGTTTGCCTACAGAGCAAACAGATCCACCGAGGATGCTGTGATCACAGCCCTCCATGCTGCTCTGTCACATCTAGAGCAGAAGGGGAACTATGTGCGATTGCTCTTTGTTGACTATAGCTCTGCTTTTAATACCATCCTTTCTCACAGACTGGTGGACAAACTGGAGCACCTGGGTCTTCCTCACTCCACCTGCAAGTGGATTATGAGCTTCCTGACCAACCGACAGCACAGAGTTAGGGTGGGGGAACATTTATCCACTGCCCTCCCCTTAGCACTGGCTCTCCACAGGGCTGTGTGCTGAGTCCCCTGCTCTATTGTCTATACACACATGACTGCACCTCTGCCCACCACAGCAACACCATCATCAAGTTTGCTGATGACACCACAATGGTGGGGCTCATCTCAGGAGGCGGCGAGTCGGCCTACAGGAGTGAGGTGGAGTGGCTGTTTGTGTGGTGCAAAGAGAACAATCTGCTCCTTAACAACTCAAAGACAAAAGAACGGACATCACACCACTAATCATTGGGGGGAAATGTGTGGAGAGGGTAGCTGACTTCCGTTTCCTGGGGGTCCACATTGAACAGGGCCTCACATGGAACATTAACACCTTGGAGCTGACAAAAAAGGCCCAGCAAAGACTGTACTTCCTGAGGGTTCTCAGGAAGAACAACATCAAGGAGAAACTGCTGGTGTCCTTCTACAAGTGCTTCATAGAGAGCATACTGTTTTACTGCATCTGTGTATGGTATAACAGCAGCACTGCAGCTCAACGGAAAGCTCTCCAAAGGGTTGTGAAGACAGCCCAAAAAATCATTGGCTGCCCTCTCCCCTCACTGGAGGACTTGCACAGCGACCGCTGTCTAAAAAAGGCACAACACATCACAAAGGACACTTCTCATCCCGGACATTCTCTGTTCACACTGTTGCCTTCAGGCAGACGATACAGAGCAATCAAACCAAGAACCAACCGCCTTAGAGACAGTTTTTACCCGACAGCAATAACAAAACTAAATGCAACCAGAAATAACCATTAATCATCATGGATGATGTGTGTGAGATTGTACTATTCTTATTAGTGTTTTTATCAGCTATTGTTATTTATTTCTTATATTATGTGTAAATGGTGGTGACAGTGATTTCTGTTTTTGTTTTTAAGCATATGCACTGATCGATCAATGGCACTTTTTTTAAAATTTTCGTTGTTCTTTGTGACAATGACAACAATAAAGATTTGAAGATTTGAAGTTGTGAGATTCACGTTTATGGATATTGGAGCATTGAGTTAATAGTTGTTTCACCATGAGTTTTGACTGTGGGTTTCGAAGTGACCATTTCTCCCACATCCTTTGCACGTACCCCCTCTGGCTAGGGTTACGGGTAACATCTTGCCCATTTCCTTCTTTTTCCAGTAGCATAGTACTATTTCTGGTTCCCCTACACCTGAAGAAAAACCTTGTTTGGCCGGGCGACATCTGAGCCAGCATGTCATTCATTTCATTGTCACTCATCATTGTATGAGGTAGGCATTGAGGTAAAGGGACCCACACTGGAAGCTCTTTCTCTTCCCCAACGGGGATTCGAACCCGGAACGTCAGCGTGCAAGTCGGGAGACTTGTCACGTATACAAAATAAATATATGTGTATGTACATATATATACATACATATATATATACTTTTCAGGTTTCTGCTGCAGCTTTTCTGATAAATGTATATCAGACTCTCTCTCAGCCACCCTCATACACTATATAGACAGATACAACACCTCAAGCACAAGCATGAAACTTATTCTAAATTTCTCTTCAGGTGTTGTACCAGAACAATGTACAAATCTTTGGGAGTGTTGCTGCAGTGTTCGTATTATTCTGAATCACAGCTCAATAGTTGAAAGTAAGTTTAGAAGAAAGAGCTGCTAACAGAGGGACCAACACCCAGCTCTTTGGTATCAACTCACACATCCAGGTGTTCAGGATGAGGAACGTCAAATGTGACCTCAAGAACACCACTGCTACAGTCAAGCATAGTGGTGGAAATATTATGATTTAGGTATTTTTTCTCCAAAGTGAACAGGATGATATCACTGCAGTAAGTGGCCAATGGAAAGGGTCCCTGATCACATAACCTTAAACACTGAAGGTGGTCTGATCCACAGAGGGGTCTTTAAATGTGACAAAGACTCATTTTTGGAACATTTAAACATATTCTCTGCTCTGTTTTTGCATTGCACATTTTGTTTTATCTGTCAACGGTATAATGTAAACAAAACATATGTACTTAACAATATAATTGTTTTTAAACATTCTTTTTTACTTTTAATACAGAACATGCAAAACATTAAACACCTGAAAGTTTACACCAAATAGTACTTCAGGTTTCAGTTGAACTTTGTATCCTAAGACATTACATAAAACATCACAGATCATTTCCCAATTAATTTATAACATATGTGAATGGTCCACATCAACACCCTTGACATCATTTCCAACATTTCTGTTGCCTTTTTAGTTGTTTGCTTCTTTTTTTTTTGGTGTATTAGGAAAATCTTACCACCAGGCAAACTCCCTCCACATCCAACAGCTGGAAGCAGTCTGGTAGATTTTACAGGTTTTGCCATTCTATATCATCAATATTACCACAAATAGCAAACAAGGCTCCAATTGTCTGCACTTACATGGACTGGTAGTTATAAAATTTACACCCTTTTTTTTAAAAGCAATTACCTTTTTCTCCTTGGACTGAGAGCCACAATGTTTTTTTCTGTATTGAAGAATTTCTATAACTATTACAATATAATTACTATTAACAGTATGGTTTCTTTCTTTATTACTGTTATTTTCATGTTCTGTTAAAACAGAATGGTTTTTCACCTGGTATATAACCAAAATGCCTTCCTAAAATACTTTCACAACTCTTTTATGCGTGAAAACACAACAGTGACTATGATTAAAGGATTTAAACTTGTCAGTTCTGTTACAGACGCAGTCATTTATCCAGCTGCTTAATCGGAGGCTAAAAATTATATATTAATCTCACTTACTTAAGCAGAACAAAGCACTTGCTAATAAAGCTTTACTGTAAATATTAGAATGGTTATCATTCATCCCAGATTAGTTGCGTTCTTATGCTCCGCTAATCTGGAACAAACTCCCAGAAAAACGTAAAAATGCTGAGACCCTAAATTGCTTTAATTCCAGATTAAAAACAAACTTGTTTAGAGTGGCTTTTAATAAAAATGTCAAAGAATATTTACAGCATAAACATTAATCACTTTCCTTTATCTCTAACTAAGAAGAGAGAAAAAAAAATCAAGATAACATTTTACATGTCTTACAAAACAAAGTGAACCTTCTATTGACCTGTTTTTTCCCTCCAGATCTGTGGGAGAACTGGACATAATACCAGTTGTACTTGTGTTTGAATGTTAGTCTTGGAAATTTATATCTTTTTGGAATGTAATATGTTTATCGTCATTTTATGCTATCTAAATTGTTATTTATCATAGGTAAAATAGCAGTTCACTCTATAATGTAAACATTTTAACATATATTCTTTCTTTTACATCTGTTTAGATCATCCTTTTGAATCAGATTTTATTTTTTTCACGTTTAAATCACCCTAAACAAAAGATGTTTAAATTTAATATATACTTCAAATTAGACATATACTTCAAAAACTTTAAATTAAATTGTATCAAAACCAAGTTGGACCATACTGTCTGGAAAACTGAAACCGAATAAGAAACTCACCTCTAGGCATGACCATCCTACTCCTCTCTGAGGAAATTTGATGGCAGATTTCATTTTGTGTCAAAACACAATGGTAGTAGCCTTCCTCAGTCACAACCGCACGGAGAATAATGTCAAAGTACTTTCCATTCGGAGATGCGTTGTTTACTTCATATTTCAAAGTAACATTAGAATCATTTTGCAGCTCCATCTCAGGTTTTGGAAAAGCACCAGCAGCTTTACACTCCACCTCCCTCCCACCATTTCTGTTCTCAAGACCCCTGATAATTGGCTGTGGACAAGTACCTGTAGACATGAAACAAACAATAAATATAACAAGGAACATTTTTAGCCACAAAATGAAATGCCAAGTGTCAATAATCAATAATGTCTCTTCATATTCAGATTTAGATCCTCTTTTCCTATGTGCCACTAACAAATAGCAGCCGCAGATGCAGGATCGGTTCTCACTGAAGATAGCAGCCGATGTGGATGTACAATTCCCCATAAGGTTTGGATTAGTAAGCGCCAGATCGGTAACGAATAGATCTTTTACCCTAAAACAGAGGTCTGGAGCTCTTTCAAGCTGGGCACCATTTCATTCACAACACCTGTCCTATCAACCAGGAATCAGAATCAGAAATACTTTTATAATCCCAGGGCCTAATTACTACCGTTACATTATTCCAGCTGTAATAGAGTGACTATAGAACCAGTTTGATATAACACAATTTCATACAATATATATATAATTAGGGGGTCCCCGCTCTATCTTGCATCAGTTTAGGGGACCTTGGCCTGGAAAACATTGAAGACCCCTGTTCTAAAAGATTTACTCATGCCCCAATGAATACATACCTGGTTGAGGGCTGGTGAATCCAGTGCTTTTACAGAACTCCTACTGCTTTTAAAATCCCCACGAATTATGAGTAGAGGAGGCAGAATAGCTCAGGTGAAGTTCATCTACTCTCTGTTCCTCATGAGCGTGGTGGTGCAATCAGAGCAAAGCTCCACTCCACATCATGCTGGGTTAATAGATGATTAGCTGTAACTTACATTTTTTCCTGGTCTGAGTTAGTATTAAGGTTTAATCATTATATTTGTTCTTGCTGCTCTGAAATTAGCCATGTTCCCTCACAGTGTTATTTTGTTGTTATTGTTTTTATTTCTTGTATAATGGACGGGGCAGTCTGATGTCCCTGGACTCAGCAGCTGATCTGGCAGTTTTTTTCTTTCCAATCATTGTCAGATTATGGTGGAGCGGGCAGCATTAATATGAAACACAATAATCTCACCTAATTGGTTTTTGATAAAAATATGTAAATTAGATATAATATTAGGGCCTAATGACATATATGAGTCTTATTTAGTAAGATCTCTTGCTATTCAGAAATATGTGGTGTTTGAGGAAATATTAGTATTATATAAACACCGTTTTCTTATTGTTCCTCACTTTTCAACTCTGCTCTCATAGCTCTTCTTTATGTTACATTTTCTGATCCCTGTACTGGAAATATTTGTATCACTTCAAAACACCATGTTATCAATGACTATAGACTTTGGGCTCTATAAATACACAAAGAAGAGTTTTTAAAGATTAAACTTGAAATATTGAAAATGCAGGATAAGGCTGTAAAATTTACCCTCTTTATTACAAAAGTAACTGAGAAACTATGGGTATTTGTGAGCCTTTTTGATGAAACATCATAAACTAACCTACCAAACAGCTCTCTGAACTGCTACAGTGAGTCAGAGCTTGTTGATAATAGTGAGGCAGACAGACTTTATTTATCCACTTAATTCTTATAGGTTCACAGAGAAGCTGATGCTAATTTTTTAACAGTAAATGGACAGAAAGAATATATGTTAACAGCCTGGATTAGTCAAAGACAACTATGCATTAAAACCTTAATGAAATATTGTGTTAATTTACCCTCGTGTGCATTAGTGCTTTCGTGCAGAGGGAAAAGATACAATGCTTTACAGTAAACAAGCAAACTCCCAAATGTAAGGCCTTCAAAGTAAACTGAACCCAGGGCTTTCTTGCAGTGTCACTACCAGTTACCCCATCATTCAGTCTATGCTGAGTTAAATATTGATTAAATCATGCTATACATAACTATGATATCAATAAATATATGGAAAAGTTATAAAATGAATTGTATATGTATTAAATACAGCTCAACATAGGCTGTCCTGAAGCAAATTTTTTTTAGCCATTTTGAAATTACAGTCACAACTATGAGATCTATCTGATTCTGAGCTCCTGTTTTGCAAATTTTCCTATGCAAAAATGTAAAAAAAAACTTCCAGATTTGAAGGGTAGAAATAATAGACCTAAATTTTTTATTCCTACTATCAGCAACAATAGAAATTTAGGGTCCTCCTACTGAACTGTGAATGTAAAAGCCCTAAATATATTTTCTAACAGGTTCCTCTTTATTTATGGTTCAAGAAAAAAGTAGAACCTATTATGGCTTTAATCTTGACACTCTTCTCCATTTTTTAATAACCAATTGTTGCTTTATCAGATTCTCCCAGCTGAGCAGTGACTCTTTATAACTTTAACAAAGACACAATAAACCTCCTGGCAGCTTCTCAGGTTAATGATGTTTTTACTAAGCTATCTGCTGTGTCCCTTAATTTCCATTTTGCTCTTTGTTTATAAATGATTAAAAATATATAAATATAAATAAAGTATTTGTTTTTAAATTAAAATACACACAGATTGTGTGAAAAGGCAGTTGAGTAAAACTACACCAAATAACAGATTTAAAAAATGAAAACCATGGACTCTTCTCCTTAAGATTTACAGCTATGATAATGCTCTACTATTGCAGTGAATCTTGTTCTAATATATTAATTTTGTTGTTGTAAGCTGAAATTGGAAAATAGACCATGGGGCAGAAATTGGTCTAATGGTGCTAATGACAATGTTGCTATTCTTTACCATTATGACAGAAAATATCTGCACAATTATAATATCTCCTTGAAATATCACAATAAATCACCTGTAATATTTTGGATAGCAATGTATCAATATACTTCATACAATAATTTAATTAAACAAAAATAGCCTATAGAAAATGTGGTATGTCAAATTGTGAGATTTTTTTTTTTAACTTTAAATATGTTTTAGAATCGGTGTTGAAACCAAACAGATGATCTAAGCGTATATCTTCTCTTTTATGATTGAATAGCGCCATCAACCCCTATCTGGGAGGAGATAGGAACCAGGACTCACCTTTTTTTCTTTCTGGATCCTTGGTTCTGTCTTTTAACCATATAAAACTCGGAGGTTGCATGCGACCTGATATTTATCTGGAAACAATTATCTATTTACAGTGTGTGCTTTACTTAACAATAGCTCTACAGTTATCTGCGTGTTATATCGCGTTTGAAAGATTATATTCTGGTTTTTAACGCAGTCTGGTTTCTTAAAGCAGCTTCGCGGTGTAAATAAATTATTTCGCATTATTTTACTCCTGTAAACATGTGGAGAACTTAAATACTAACTGGTTTGGCTTTTGGTAAAACAGGTAAAGACGGGCAAAATGTTTTTAAACACGGTAAACCCGATTAAATGAATTTGGCTTTTAAGCGGAAGTTATTTATCTGACATCAGCGGAAGAAAAATCAAATGTTGAGTTAATAAAACCGATAAAACTTAAAATTAAACACATTTCCGTTATGATTGCAATAAATCAATACATAACTTTAACCAATGAATTCGATGTTTTCTTAAATCAAAGCCAACAGTAAGAAAACGAACCAATAAAACATAAATTTGATGTTTTTCTACTGAATTTCCCCCTAAGTTACCCAATCAGATACCAGCTTTATTTAACAGGTTTCCAGTTTATTCAGAGCAGATCTCAGAGTTACTTTCAGCCAATAAAAATCAGTTCATTTTAATCATCTAACTATTATTGCCGATAAATTCAACTGTCTTTACCGCGAATATAAGTAAAGGTGACCAGGTATATAATATTATCGTTGATGAACGAAGTAAAGAAAATTATTCCATCTGTAAAATTCAACATTTTAATTTGAGCCTAACAGATAGCAACATTTGTTGATACTGAGTGAGAAAGCTTAAATATATAAAATTTTCTCGGGTTACCTAGACACATATGGTTCCTCTAAAATTCTTTTAAAAAGTTTTAACAGGGTTTAATTTTTATTTTCTGCTTATTGCTGATTAACTCTGTGGCCATCTACTGGGGATCTTTTGTGTTGCACCTTCAGAAAATTTTTTCACAGAAATAAAAATAAATTATGTCCAAGACAGCAAATAAAACAATAGATCTGCTGTGTGAATCCCTTCTTGATCAACAATATTTGAGACAAATAACACTGAGTTTAAAGAATGACAAAAAAGTTCACTAAGATTAATGTATCAATAACTTTTATTTTACATTATCCAATAAAGTACATTATGCAACTTGAAGTATCAAGTGAGTCTGAGATGTGTCATGAATTCTCCCCTCGCTTACCTTACATTGATATGACAAGCTGTGACTGCTTTTTAATTATTCTAAACTATCTTACAGTTCAAGTTTACTTATTTACAGCTGCTGAGGTGACTGTGATCAGCCCTAAGAGGTTAAGATGCATTCTAAAATGGAAAAGAAAAGAGATGTTAGAGATATCTATCAAAATCACCTGATTGGGATTAACATGAAACAAGATAAATCTCATCATTCACATGTTAAACAGGTTTCTAGGGTTACCCTCTTTTACAATTATAATATAGTCAAAATTAGAATGATCCTGACCAGGAGTGATGTGGAAATCCTCTCCATGTATACTTCAGGACTGAACTATTGTAATTCTTTATCATATGGAAATAAAAGAAAATGCAGTGAAAAGATTTCATCCTATCAAACCATGAGGCTGCAAGGATTGAGATCAAAATCTGAGAAAGATAATATTTATCCTATTTAAGCTTATCTTCACTGGCTTTTTGTTCCAGAAAAGAATCCAAAAAATTATTTGCACATATTTAAAGTATAAATAATCAAGCTCCATCTTGCATCAGAGATCTGATCATGTCTTAACCAAGCTCATACTGATGTTCACTGGTGGTTTTCAAAATTTAAAAAAGTATACTGGGAGGAAGATCTCTTCAGAAAAAAAAGAAGGGAATATCCCTTTATAGTTCCTAATGAGCATTGGACACTGAGACACTTTTAAGGAGCATTACTGGGTTAAGATTATTGCACCGGGACATCAAGTAACACTCCAGTTGACCTATAGCCTCTAAAGAAGATAAATGCCCTGCTCTCTAACCAACAGCCTACTTTAGTATCAGGCCTCCTCCAGTAGAACCAGCTACCAACCTTAGACTGGAGGTAGACCCCTTGTCAAGCTTTAAAAATAGGCTATTCCAATTTATATTTTTTTGCTATCATTTCAGCTCTAACCTTAATGTTCTCTTGTTTTTCTCTCCTAATAAAAGCTAATAAAATCTACATCTGATCTGCTCTTCTGTTTGGTTGTGACACCTTCCTGCAGAGGGCGCTGCAGCAGCATCTGAGCTACTGCTGTCAGTAACTTAATGTCTCCCTTGTTGATACTTTTGACCCTGTGTTTTCAGTGTTAAACTTTGTCTCTCTCCTAGAAACATCCATTTAGCTTTTAGTTTGATGGATTGCATGTGCTGTATTTTCTTCTATAAGACTTGGAAACCAGCTGATAGATCATCTGCTCTGCTGTTCAATGAGCTCCTAGTGTTATTAACTTTAACCTTTTTAAACACAAAAAAAAAAAAATACAATTCGATCAGTGCCTCTCTGTGCTCTTTGTGTGTGTGTATGCACTCTAGTCGCTCATGGTAAATGACCTTAAACACTTAAGACAAACAAAACCAGAAACTTTTGAGAGAAGTTTTCCTTTTACACTGCCGTTACATATATGATCAGTGTGAAGGAATGAACTAACTAACTTATAAAAATAAACTGAACTTGACTAGAATGTTTGATATCTAGAATAAAAAGACTTGGAATCTGTCTACAAAACAGCTAGACTCTGGTTAAGTCTAAGTGTCTTGTAAAATGGCACAATCTATTGCGAATCAGAGTTATATAGACCATATAAATTGAACTGAAAGTCTGGCTATTTCATTAGAGAGAAATTTGCATCCGTTCCTCTTTTATGGATATAGATGGTGTTGTGCTTCAATTCTATGATGACATGTAAGCTGGTTTTCAATTTAATTTACTTGAAAAGCAGAAAAAGGCTTCATATTAAATAAATTTCGCTTTTGTGGAAACCATTCTGGAATTTCTCAGTTTTTGTGGGAATACATTTATTTTCATAGTGAACCAATTACACTTGAGTTCTGAGGACATTTTATCCTCCTGTAGACAAATAAGTTCTAATCAATGAATAAAAATCAATTATTATTTTTTTAGTCGATAGGTGTCCCATAAAAACACTCACCAACAGTAAGCTCAATAAGCCGCTGGTCCTTTGGAGCTTGTCCAGGTTGGTTAATATGCAAGCAGCTGTATTTTCCACTGTCTGAAACCTTTGCTCCCTGGATTTTTACGGAAGCATCTCCAGACTTTAGATCTTCTGAAAAACGTGAGACCCTGTCTGTAAACTTTGGATCCTCAACTGTAAGATCCTCCTTCGTGAAATCAAAATGAAAAACATCATTGTCATCTTTTTTCCACTCAATGCGATGACCTGTAATGTCTTTCCCAAAAGAACAATTTAGGATGATATCCTCATCTTCTTTGATGGTAATTTTGACAGAATCTGAAAAAGAAAAAAACAACGCATCATTCAACAGTGTTCAAACACTCTGAAAAATGAGTCTAAAAAAGCAGCTCTTTAGCATTTAACAAAAAGAAACGGTTGGTTTTATATGTTGTTTGTTCCTTTTTCCCTAATAAAAGAAAAAAATTAAACGAAAAAAAGTCTGTGGTCTTCTATTTGTGTTTGTGTTTATGGCTTTCAAGTGTCCACAGGTTAAAGCTTCACGCCTAACAAGTTAAAAAAAAAAACATATATAGAGTATCAATCTTTTTAGTTTTCCGTAAAAGTTAGATTGACATATTTGTTACTCTTTTTGACACAATCCCTTCCCCCATAATTCAAATGAACTATTATTACAGCTCTGGATAAACAAAATAAATAACTGTTATATACACAAAAAAAAATCTAGTTTATTCTAGATTTTTTTTGTTAATTATACAAAGTTAGATTTTTAGTTCCACAATTCTTTTAGGAATTTCCACATTCAACTTTTCACTTCTTAAATAATACCAACATAGAATCTTTGAAGATTAACCAGTAGTGATTTTGAACCGATACAATATCAGGACAAATCATACATTCTTTTATTACCTGTTTCCTAAATGGGATTTTAGAAAAGTCTTGATCAAGTGATATCACTGAAACAAGTGACAGCAGTCATCAGCAACAGGTATAGGGACTACTGACCCATTTATTACTCACCAATGTGTTACGTAAATTTTTGTGTTCTGTTTGGGTTTTATGTTAGTCTTTACAAAAAAGATGGACATTTAATTTATTAAAAGGTGAAAAAATCCTCAGATTGTCCCATTTATATTTCCTATTATACATGTCATCTTATTCCTTATGAGGCTGCACAGAACTGAAAGGTAAATGATCAATACAAGAATTTAGCATAAACAAACTCTGCCATCTTCTGGTTCCATTGAAATACTACAAGGAAATTATAGGAAACATATTTTTTACAGAAAAAATATTTGCTTAATTACTGATTGTCTTATAAGGAAGTTAAAAATTAAACCATACAACTGTTGCAACCTGCTAAACAATTTTACCGTATTAAACAACATCCAATGATTTTTCTTTACAAATTACTTAAGCATTCTCTCCCAGAACGTAAAAGGGAAGGACTTTCATTATTTAAACTCTTTTTATTTTATTTACTTTATTTAATTTATAATCCTAATTTTCTATAGTCCTGATTTAATTGTTTGATTGATTACTTGGTGTTCTAATGTTCTAATGGTATTTGGGAGCTAGTATTTATTTTTATCCCATAATTAGTACACAAGTGGAAAAGCCTCATTAAAACCTTCCGCCTTTACAATCCTGAAGCTGTGAAAAATATTTAATGGGAACTTAATAGTTCCCATTAAATAGTTTTTATTACAACATAAATTTTATGTATTCTTGTAGTTGAAAAAAATAAATATTTTTAGGGTTTGGTTGAACATTTAAAGAGTGGGTTGGATTAAAACTGAATATTCTTAAATCCTGGGTTTACCACTTCATGGTCCTGCACGATCAAACACTATCTGAGTTGTTTAAACCAAAAACTCCAACTTAAAG